ACTTTAATTTTAGGTTTTCATGTGGCACCCCCCCCCCCCCCCCCAAAAAAACCCAGAAGGATGAAGCCAAAATCTGTATGATGTGTCAATGGAAATGCTTCTGAGTTACTGGAATGTGTGATGATGTCTTCAGGGGTTTGTGTTATACTGTCGATGGTCTAACAGGTGGAAAAGCCCTACATGGCGTTGTAAGCCCCAACTTTGCGTCGGTGTGGAAAGCAAGTATTCGTCAGTCTGCCTGAGGTTTACCAAATGTGTATCACAGAACTCCCGCGGAAACGTCAGACTGAACTGTTGAGGATTGGACTGCGCAATACTAGATAACTAATAAAGATCACATTTATGTGAGGTTCCTCCCAAAAAGCAGCAACAGAAAGCTGGTGGTGGTCATTAAGCAACTTCTTCTTCCTCCGGCATGTAAGATCTGCTGTTGGCCAACTTCCTAAAAAAGACTTTTATTATGGAATGACGTAGTTTGAGGCCACATGGTGGAAAAAAAACAATAATTACTGCGGCAGAGACAGTTTGAGGAAAGGTGCGCTGTAACAATGTCCAAGCTAATTGAGTCACTTTGACTATATTTGAGGCCTAAAAGTCAAATTTTCTTCTTAGAATAAGGGGAAGATTCGGTCAATGGCATGAAATCATAGAAATATCTTCCCAAAATGAACTAGTTAAAAGAGTTCTCTAGATATTCGATTAATGAAAAATGAGTTGTTATTGTTTTGTTAAGTGCTGACGAATGACGTTAGCTTAAAAACAAACCATGAACTCACTTCTTTTAAATCAAGGTTGAAGACTTTTTTGTCGCTGACTTTTATTAAATCATATCTTACACTGCACTGATTTATTCTATTTCATACCTGTCTTATTCTATTTTAGCTTGTTTTTATTTTCAAATGTTCTTAGCTCTTAAATGACAGTTTTATACTTGTATTTACATTCATGTTTTTCTTTTGCACTCCGTCTTTTGATGTTTTATGTAAAGTGCTTTGTTGCTGAAATGTGTTATATGCAGTAAATACACCTACAGTAGTAGTACATAATACTTAATGACATAAACGTACCCAAAATCTCAAGTACCAGCTGTAATTTGCCTCCAGACCTCTGTTCACCTCGGTAGTTGAGCTCGTTATAGCTCCAGGTGTGTCATGGCTGCTCAAACACGCTCCGTTGGCTGACGTTGGAGGGTCGTCAGCTTGATCTCCTTCACCTGGGCCTCCAGGCTTTAACAGCTGGTCCATGCTCATTGTTTTCACAGCACGCATACCAGCACTGCTTTCAAAGCCACACACTACATATTTAAGTAATGGTTTACTTTTGTTTTAAGTAAAAACCTTTTGCGTGTCAACATCTCTGAGCCAGTTTGAGACTATCGGGTTCAAGAAATCTTATCATTGAATTCTTTTCTCAGATTTAGTTTGTTGAATCCAGGAAGTGTCTCTGGACTTTACTATAATCTGCTTGAAGGGGATTTTTTTGTTGGCATAGACCAAATAATGTGTCACATTAAGATAGAGAGGACAATCTACAGAAGCTGAACGCTCGGTGTTACTGTAGATCACTTCTGGTAGTACACACTGTAATCTTTTATTAGCAAAACACATTTACATGCCCTGATTGAAGGACAAAGGTTGAAGATGCTGTTAACATGCGGGTCTTATTTTAACATGTGGGTCTCCCATGACGGTGTCAGTGGCCTTCTAGTCATTGCCCTCCACTTCGCTATGGTTTATGACCGCGTGAGAGTCGTGGGAGTACTTAATATCTTTTTAAAAAGGGTTCCTCTTAATGTCCAGGAGCTGAGGATTATGTTACTCTTGGTCTTGTTGAATGGATAAAATATAGACATGCATACAGTAGAGCAGACTCGTGCTGAAAATGTTTTCCTGTTACATTCATATGGCACTACAATATAAGAATATTTGTTATGTTACTTCAGCTAGGTAAATAAGTTAGTACATTACATACATTAACTTATGTACATATGTACATGACATTAAGTTGTAGTCTCACACAGGACATGAAGAACTGTCTCCTGGGTGAAAGTCCTGTGTTTATTCAGGACACACTACGAAAAGTGATGCGCTGTAATTCGTATATATATCCCACAAAAATCAGTTTGTATGTAATCCACATAATCGTGAACCAGGAAGCATGAAGAGTGACAAACTCTGCATAGGGAGGAGGACTGTGTGGATGTGTCGGTTCAAAGACGCCAGACTTTCACCCAGGAGGCCGCTGTGCATGTCCCGTTTGAAACCAGAAGTCAACTCATTCGTCACGTAACTCTCGTGCTTAAGTAGGGTCACTTCTGTCGTTATTTTAACCCAAATCACAAACTTTTCCTCAACCTAACTAAGTACTTTTCTGTGAAGACAGAAGTTTATTTTGAAAAGACTGAGTGCATGTGACAAACAAGTAGGAATAGCTTTTCTTAAGATGTCATACGAAACGTCTTACGAGGACACGTTAGTTTATTTGCACCCAAAGCAGAAATACACGAAGGAAGAGATGGAGAGACGAGTTTCTAGAACCGAAACAGACAA